TCCTTTATTGAGCTAGCTGAGCTGGCTCAGGAATTCTGGGAGTTGAAGTCCACAGGTTGTAAAGTTGTCGTAGTTGCTCACCCTTGCAATAAAATAACACTGAGCTTGTCAGAAGACTTAGCTTTCACCTCCAGCTTATGTTTACCCTACATTATCCTTGGGGATGATAAAAGTGGTGAAGATTTGTGTATAGAACTCTAGGGGTGTGTTATGTGCACAACTATAACACTCCAGGGAAGTCTAGGGAACTCTTGTACTGTTAAGTGAAGTTGGAAAATTCCCACTACAAAAGGACTCTAACCTACTTCCTAAAAGATTCTCTGTAAAGATAAAAATCAGATCCTTCAAGTAGACCATAAACCAGTGGTTCTCAACCTTTTTAATGCCGCGACCCCAACCAGTTGTAAGTCGAGGACTACTCAACCGGTCGTAAGTCGAGGACTACTCAACTGGTGCAGCACCGTTTGCAGAATGGGACTTTTGGCAGGCTCAGCATGGCAGAGACAGCCTGGACAATTCCTATTGGCTTTTGAAAGCCAATAGAATTAGACTCTATTCAAGAGAGTCTATTCTATTGGCTTTCAAAAGCCAATAGAATAAAAGGGAGTAGCACAGCTAAGGAAAAGGGGGAAAAAATGGCGGACTGTGTTGTTTGGCGACCCCCGTGAAATGGTCGTTCGACCCCAAATGGGGTCCCGACCCACAGGTTGAGAACCACTGCCATAACCCATCATACTGAAGCAGCTTGGCTGGTATCCAGCTGGCTATCTGGGAATTCTGACATAAATTTTTAACTCCCATTGTGTTTTTTATAAATTCATTTCCCAGCCTAGATGGATGGATTGGCTTTCACTCAGCGCAAAAAAATATTCACTCCTTTCTTGACCAGTGCTCGGCATTATTTTGTGGAAGGAATCACAATGCATCCTTTTGTACAAGCTTAAACCTTATCAGTCTCAAGTGGCAATATAATTAATGAGCAAAATCCTCTTATCTGGACTGTAGAAGAATCTTATCTGGGAAAGTATCCCCTGCAGTGTGTAAGGATTAGAGGGCATATGAGCAGAGGGAGGGCTACCTTTTCATGGGCATAGTGATTTGCACAGTAAACTTTTTCAATAAGGATTGTTTCAGATTCAGGTACAATCCTACATAATATGGTATGCCTAGGGTGGGAATCCTGCCACAATTATGTGGTCACAATTTTGAATAAATATGGATTGGTTTGTCCTTTAGTAAGTTACAAATAGTCCTCGTCTTACCACCATCCTCTTAGTGACTGTTCAAAGTTACAATGGCACTGAAAAAAGAAATGGGATGGAATGTAGAATAGAATAGAATAGAATAGAATAGAATAGAATAGAATAGAATAGAATAGAATAGAATAGAATAGCATGAAATAGCATAGCATAGAATAGGAATAGAAATAGGAATAGGATAGGATAGGATAGGATAGGATAGGACAGGATAGAACAGGGAATAGAACAGAATGGAATGGAATGGAATGGAATAGAATAGAATAGAATAGAATAGAATAGAATAGAATAGAATAGAATAGAATAGAATAGGGAATGGAATAGGGAATGGAATGGAATGGAATGGAATAGAATAGAATAGAATAGAATAGCATAGCATAGGAATAGGAATAGGATAGGACAGGATAGAACAGGGAATAGAATGGAATGGAATGGAATAGAATGGAATAGAATAGAATAGAATAGAAGTAGAACAGTGATGGCGAACCTTTTAGAGACCGAGTGCCCAAACTGCAACCCAAAACCCACTTATGCATCATTGGGTGCCAGGTGGGTGTGGCCCATTGGGTGGGCATGGCTACGGTGGTAACAGCAGACTGGGTGGGACTAAAAAGTTCAATCAATCAATTCCAACTTTGCAAGATCTTTTTTTTTTCCTGCGAGAAGTTGAAATTGACTGATTGATTGAACCTTTTTTTTGTACATGGCAGCGGAGGCCTAAAGCAAAAAGGTTTTATAAAACCCAGCTGAAGGCCTAGGACTGGGGCGACGGCACGGATGCCCACAGAGAGTACGCTGAGTGCCACTTCTAGCACCCGTGCCATAGGTTCGCCACCACTGGAATAGAAGAATGGGAACAGAACAGAACAGAATTATTGGCCAAGAATGATCGGACACACAAGGAATTTGATGCCGGTACATTTTGTCTCATTTTAACCTTTCTTGTTGAGGTTTTTAAGTGAATCACTGTAGTTGTTAATTTAATAACATGGTTGTGAAGTGAATCTGGCTTCCCCATTAACTTTGCTTGTCAGAAGGTTGCAAAAGGTGGTCACATGACCCAGAAACATGGCAATCATAAATACATGCCAGTTGCCAAGTGTCTGAATTTTGATTATGTGACCCTCGGGATGCTGCAATGGTTGTTAAGTTTAAAAAATGGTCGTAAGTCCCTTTTTTCAGTGGCATTGTAATGTCAAATGGTCACTAAAAGAATGGTTGTAAGTTGAGGACTACCTGTATACTGGATATCTTTCATTATAACATGGATCTTTACTATAAAACATTCCCAACAAGCAATCATAGATCTCTTAGAGCAGTGGTGGCGAACCTATGGCACGGGTGCCAGAGGCGGCACTCAGAGCCCTCTCTATGGGCACACGGGCCGTCGCCCCAGTCCTAGGCCTTCAGCTGGGTTTTATAAAACCTTTTCACTTTAGGCCTCCGCCGCCATGTGCAAAAAAAAAAAAGGTTCAATCAATCAATCAATTTCAACTTCTCGTGGGGAAAAAAAAAGACCTTGCAAAGTTGGAATCGATTGAACTTTTTAGTCCCACCCAGTCTGCTGTTACCACCGCAGCCACGCCCACCCGGCACCCGACGATTGCATAAGTGAGTTTTGGGTTGCAGTTTGGGCACTCGGTCTCTAAAAGGTTTGCCGTCACTGTCTTAGAGGGAAAAGCTAAATCTTGGGCTAAATCTTGTATAAAACAACTTTGGAGTTTAATGATAGAAGATGAATGACGTCTCATCACAGAAGTGGGTGTGGAAATTCTGTCCCCTACCCATTTATCTGTGGAGTGGATGGTTAGGATTTGCAGTTTCCAATGTTGTGGATAGTGCTGCTCAAGCAGGAAACGCTATACCAGTGGCCCCCAAACTTTTGGGCACCAGGGACCACTTCCGTGGAAAGGTTTTTTCGCGGACTGGAAGAGCTGTGGTGTCACATGCTGCCTGCATCCCACAGATGGGGCTTCACTTGTTTACCTGGACAGGTTGCTGGCATGCCACGGACCGATGCCGGTCCGTGGACTGGGGGTCGGGAACCCCTACTCTATACCATTTCAGACAAGTGGCTATACAGCCTCTTCTTAAAACCCTCTGGTATTTGAGCACCCATAATTTTTGGAGGCAAGCCGTTCCACTGATTAATTATTCTAACTGTTAGGAAATTTTACCTCTCCAAGGTGCTTCTCTCCTTGATTAGTTTCCACCCGTTGCTTCTTGTCCTGCCTTCAGGTGCTTTGGAGAATAGCTTGACTCCGTCTTCTTTGGGGCAGCCCCTGAGATACTGGAACACTATCATGTCCCCCCTCGTCCTTCTCTTCATTAGACTAGACATACCCAATTCCAGCAACCGTTCCTTATATGTTTTAGCCTCCAGTCCCCTAATCATCTTTGTTGCTCTTCTCTGTACTCTTTCTAGAGTCTCAGCATCTTTTTCTATATCTTGGCGACCCAAACTGAATCCAGTACAGATAGTCCTTGACTTACAGCCACAACAAAGCCCAAAACGTCTGTTGTTCAGCGAGACATTTGTTAAGTGAATTTTGCGCCATCTTACGACCTTTCTTGCCACAATGGTTAAGCAACTCACTGCAGTTGTTCAGTTAGTAACACCATTGTTAAGTGAATCTGGCTTCTCCATTGACTTTGCTTATCAAAAGGTCGCAAAAGGGGATCACGTGACCCCCCCCAGGACACTGCAACCGTCATAAATAGAAACTGGACAGCCATTTGTCCGAAATGGTATAGGGTTACCTGCCTGAGCAGGGGGTTGGACTTGATGACCTCCAAGGTCCCTTCCAACTTTATTATTATTATCGATCATCGCACAGTCAGCCAGATGTTCAGACTGGATTTGGCATTTTGTCTACCTATCGAGTCCTTATCCAGGACCTGGGATAGGCAGATGTGGATGTTTGATGGTATTACAGATATCGTCGCAGGATGGAAGCAGTTCCTAATAAGGCTGCCTTTTGCAATTGACTAATAGCGAATTTGTCAATGCCAATGGTGTTCAAGTGGTGCTCCAGTTGTTTTGGAATTGCACCCAAGGAGCCTATGACTATTGGTACTACCCTTGCTTGCTTTTGCCACAGTCTTTCTTACTATTATTATTATTATTATTATTATTATTATATGAACCAGTTGCCAAGCATCTGAATTTTGATCACGTGACCATGGAGCTGTGCAACGGTCATACGTGTGACAAATGGTCCTAAGTCACTTTTTTTCAGTGTCGTTGTAACTTCGAACCGTCACTAAACAAACTGTCGTAAGCCGAGGACTACCTGCATTGGCGGTGGTTATCCTTTGAGAGCTGTTTGCAGTAAACCAAGGTTGGAACTGTTGAAAAAACAGTCCTAAGCCACTTTTTTTTCAGGGCCGCTGTAACTTCGAAGGGTCACTAAATGAGCTGTCGTTAAGTCGAGGACTCCCTGTATCCCGAGGCATTCGAAAGCGGCATTAGCCCTTCACGTGGATCTGGATTCTCTCCCGCAGCAGGAGAGGCCACGCTGCGAGCTTCGCGCGCCAGGGAAGGCAGCGGCTTCCTGCTCGGCGCTGCTTCCAGCTTTCCTCGGCCGGCGCTGAGGCCGCGGGCGGCGGGGGCGGGCCGAAGCGGGGCCGGCCCTCCCCTGGGCAGGTTGCTCGCCCGCCCTCGCCCCTTCCTCGCCGGGGGCCCGGCGCCGCCCTCTCGCCCAGCCAGCACCGCCTCGCCTGGTGTCACAGCGCGCTGCGCCGGCGGCGGAGCCAGAAGCGCGCTCGGCGGGCGCACACGGCGCAAGAGGCGGGCGGCGAACGGGGAGACGAGCTGCAGCGGCAGCGGCTCGAGCGAGCCTTCTCGGTTTCCTGCTCCGGCAGGGCTGGAGCCGGCCGCGGCGGCAGGATTGGCGGCCAGCCTGCCGGACGATGTGCCCGGCCGCGGGGCAGAAAGGTGCCCGGCGGCGGCGGCGGTTGCTGCTGCCGGCGGCGCTGCTCTTGCTGGCGGCGCTGGAGGCGGCGTGCGCTTTCGGCGACGAAGAGGAGCGCCGCTGCGATGCCATCCGCATCTCCATGTGCCAGAACTTGGGCTACAACGTCACCAAGATGCCCAACCTGGTGGGCAGCCAGTTCCAGACCGACGCCGAGCTCCAGTTGACCACCTTCACCCCGCTCATCCAGTACGGCTGCTCCAGCCAGCTGCAGGTGGGTGCCCGCCGCCTCCTCCTCTTCCTCCTGCTCCTGGGGTGACTTTCCCTTTCTCCCTCCTGGGGTGAATTCACTTTCTCCTTCCCGGGATGGTTTAACTTTCCCCGGGATGCGGAGGCTCCTGCAGATGCCCCCCGGGGTGGGAGTTGCTTACTCAGAGGTAAGCCGCGTGGAGATCTCGGCCTTTGGACTGAAGCTCCGTGTCGTAAATACTGCGTTTTCCTGCAGTACTTTTTACTTTTCTTCCCTCCGGAGTTCTAAAAGGCCCGGGCGTTCAGCAAAAAGCGGATTTAACTCTTTAATGAGGGGATGGGTTGAGAGCCGTCCTCTGAATAAAAAGAACGAGAAAAGAGCTCTCTGGGCCATGTGCTGAGTGCCCTTGGTAGGTCTGAGAGGAAGGGAAGCTGGCCGAGGTCGCACGTAGTCCTTGCTGACATCCGAGACCTTGTGTCTCTCTCTGCCCAACTAAACCCTGCAGGTTTAGGCAGATGGTGTGAACTCGTCTTGCTTGACCAACCCAGGCTACTAACCCAGAAAAAAAAAAAACTCATTAGCCAATGGGGGGGGTCAAGTGTGTGGTGGGAATTGTCAAGCAAAATTGAGTCTAACTGAGAATGATACAGTCACAAGGCAGCTGTTTGGAAACTTTATCCTCTGGATCCAGGGACCCTTCTCTGAGATCCAAGGATGATCTGTGATCATCCCTGGTTAAAAAGAACAGCCCCCTTTTTGCAAACACTTTTGAGATCTTGCTGTCTTTCTGCTGGTGGGGGGGGGGCTGGTTTCGAAAGGTTGCGGGTTCAAAAGGGAGGCTTGGCAGAGCCCAGACAGACGGCGGCGGCGAACTTTGTAAGGAATAGCCCTACCAACCTATTCATGGCGGGCATGAAAGAACGATGACTCTTCCTGCACCTTTCAACAAAACATGCTTTCTCGGAGTAGTGGAGAGCTTAATCCACTCCTGGGTGTTTCCAGACAGGAGGCTTTGGGGGGGATCAGGTGTACTAAGAGGAAGCTGGTACTTGGCAAAGACCGGGGCTGGAGGACGATTGCGCCCAGCTGAAGAAGTAGAATTGTCCTCTCCAGGGCTGGAGATCAAAATTACAATGGGGATCAGGGTTATGCTAAGTGAAGTAGTTAACAGGGTGCTGGTGCTGAAAAGCAAAAGGAAAAGCAACTTCCAAGCTTGGAATTCTGCCAGAGGGCATTGCAAATAAAGCAAGCAAAGCTTGTAGGGAAACTTGGAGCTTGGAGGACCTGGGGCCAAAGATAGAAGTAAGGAAGGAAGAGAGAAGATACTAAGACCAGGACAAGGGCAAGACTAGGACAAGGGCAAGCGGGACGATTAGGGGACAAGAGAAAATTACAGATGGGAGGGAAGGGTGGCTTTGCTTTTAGGTTTGGAGAGAGGGAAGGACACACACCAAAAACACAAGATAAGTATATAAAAAAATCTCACACAATTGACAAAAGGTAGGCAAGGAGGTGGGGTTTTTTTCCCCTCTAGGGGTCATCCATGAAAACAACATGCTGGGAAATTCAGGCACCATGAAAAGGAGATATCTGTGCCACTCATTGCTCAACCATGCAATTATAATAATAATAGAGTTGGAAGGGACCTTGGAGGTCATCTAGTCCAACCCCCTGCTCAGGCAGGAAACCCTGTACCCTTTCAGTCTCTCCTTAAAAACTTCCAGTGTTGGAACACCCACAACTTCTGCAGGCAGCTCATTCTTCTAAGATTTGTTGAAGGCCACCAGTTGAAGGCTTTCATAGAGGACTGGATGGATTCATAGTACATTCACAGTGGCTATCAAGGGTCTTGATACAGGTAGTCCTTGACTTACAACCATCTGTTTATTATTGACAGTTACAACGGCACTGGAAAAAAGTGACTTATGACTATTTTTCATACTTACAACCTTTGCAGTATCCCCGTGGTTAGGTGATCAAAAGTCAGACACTTGGCAACTGGCATGTATTTATGACAGTTGCAGTGTGTGTGTATGGGGGGCGGGGTGTCATGTGATCCTCTTTTGTGACCTGACAAAAGTGGGGAAGCCAGATTCACTTAACAACCGTATTGCTAACTTAACAGCTGCAGTCATTCACTTAACAACGGTGGTAAGAAAGTTGTACAATGGGGCAAAACTCACTTAACGACTGCATTGCTTAGCAGGGAATTTTGAGCTCAGTTGTGGTCGTAAGGCGAGGACTACCTGTGGCCTTTGGAATCATGCATGCCAACTGCTAGGGAGCAACAGTGGAATGGAAATATTTACCTCCCATCCATGGCCTTGTGTTTAAAAGGCTCCTGGCTGGATATTATATTATGCCAAATGCTGGATTAGTTGGCCTTGGTCTAAGCCAGTGGTTCTCAACCTGTGGGTCGGGACCCCATTTGGGGTCGAACGACCATTTCACGGGGGTCGCCAAACAAGGCTGTCCGCCATTTTTCCCCCTTTTCTTTGGCCACGCCCCTGGCACCCGGTGATGTATAAGTGGTTGGGGGTCACCACACCATGGGGAACTGTATTATGGGGTCGCGGCATTAGAAAGGTTGAGAACCACTGGTCTAAGCCAAGCAAGCTTTTCTTAAATTCTTTCCTTCTACATAGTTTGCTTTCCTCTTTTGTGTTTTTTCTTGCTTGTTCTTGTACCATGATGGCCTAAAGTTTAAACCATAGGTCCCCAATCTTTTGGACACCAGACTTCAACTCCCAGAATTCCTGAGCCAGCCATGCTGACTCAGGAATTCTGGGAGTTGAAGTCCATGAGCCATAAAAGAACCAACCAAGGTTTCCTACCCCTGTCTTAGGTCATCAACATCCTACTTTCTACAGGTGGGTTTCAGTCCTGGAGTGGTGGTGTTTGCACGCAGATATATTCCTGGCACAATAGGTGTGCATTGACATAATAGGTGACATAATTTGGTGAGGCATACAGCTTTGGTGAGAATTGGATGAGACTCCCGGAAAGTGACTTTCCAGAAGACCTGTAAACTTCGGTGCCATGTATGAAGGAGAGCCTGCATCTCAGTTCAGTTCATAATTTGAGGCTGTCCTCACCCAACATACATACATACATACATACACACATACATACATACATACCTTCACTTTGCAAATCTTTTTCCCACCTGCATGTGAGAAACACATCATGTACACAGGTGGTCCTTAATGTACGACCACAATTAAACCCAAATTGCTTTGGCTAAGCAAGACAGTTGTTAAATGAATTTTGCCCCATTTTACAACCTTCCTTGACAAAGTTGTCAAGTGAGTCTGTGCAGCTGTTAAGTGAATCGGGTTTTCCCATTGATTTTGCTCATCAGAAGGTGAACACATGATCCTGGGACACTGTAAGCATCATAAATATGAGCCACTTGCGGAGTCTAAATTTTGATCAGGTGCTCTGGCGGTACTGGAATGGTCGTAAGTGTGAAAAATGGTCACAGGTCACTTTCTTCAATGCTGTGTAACTTGAACGGTCACTGGACAAATGTTTATAAAGGCGAGGATTGCATGAATGAGAATCCAGAGCACAGTGGAGGAATAGTACTACAAGGTCATGCAGCATCATGCAATAAAATCTTTGCTTAAAACACATTTAGAGATCCAGTGGCTTTTCCCTGGGAGCTGATCTCTCTCTCCACACTATTTTTAGGAGAATTTTTTTTTAAAAAAAATATATGCCAGCTTGGGTCGCTTCCTAGACTGTCCTGTTAACCAGCAAACAGCATATCTCGGCTCTCCTCTGTTTTTGCAACCAACGATCAGCAAATTGTGTTTCTACTGCGTGGAAACTTGCCACGTGCCATCCGTAAGTCTCTTTCCCACTCCTGTGAGGGCAGTTTGGCAGGAGTTGCTTTTAGAAGGGGGGGGGGAGAGAAATAAGGAAATGCAAATATTGCTTGCGGTGAAAATCATAGCAACAAAAGTTTTCTAATGTTCTACGCACCCCCGGAGTCGCAGTCAATTGTGTGTGAATTAGTTGGGCGGCTATGTAAATTTATTCAATAAGTAAATAAATAAAATAATGGCAACTTGAAAAGAAGTGTGAAAAACCTGACAGGTTTCAGATAGCCTTATTATGAACACTTGAATTTTTGTCAAACTCTGCTGGAAAGTCTTCCGAAAGAAAGAAAGCACCCCCCCCTTCCCTTCTCATCACGGCTTGTAATCCAACCTGGATTGGCTTGCTCCTTGTGGTTAAAGCCTTGTTGTTTTCCAAAATGACTTCTGGAAGTGAACAGCCAGCTTGAAGCCAGTGCATCTCAGGTGTGCAAAGTAAGAAGACCAAGAAAATAGGGCCGAGATTGAATAAATGGCTTTTCTTTCCCACCCTTGCCTTCAAAGAGTCCTAAGTATTTTTCTTATTCTCGGGGAATTTGATAACACCCCTGGTGCGGAAGATTAATTGGAAAAAATTGACAGCCACCGTGAATTTCTAAAAAAAAGATGTTGGTCTCTGCAGACACTGCAATCCTCTTCATATTTTGTACCGGCAAATCAGCTGGTCAGTTCTTTCAGGACCACATGCTGCTGGTGGTTCTGTTCATCAATAAAGAGGCCTTCTTTCAAAAGCAGCCTCCATTTTATTCCCAACTTGGAACTGGACCTGTTCAAAGCAACAATGATAATTGGGGGGAAAAAGTGGCTGTTTTTCGTACATATGGCCGTGGCAGCGCCCTGCTGTGTGTGATCAAAATTGGACACTTGGCAACTGGCATGTACTTATGGCGGTTGTTAATTTCCCAGGTCATGTGATCATCTTTTGTGACCTTCTGGCTATTCACTTAATAACCATGGCAAGAAAAGTCGTAAAATGGGGCAAAGCTCCCTTAACAGCTGTCTCGTTTAGCAGTGAAAATTTTGGGCTCCAATGTGGTCATAAATTGAGGACTTGCTGTAGGAGCAGGTTTTAGAAAAGGACAGACACATTTTTCTTGTTGGGCATAAAAACTGCAGGGCAGAGGAAAGGAGCGGTAGCAAAGT